TTTCTAGTTTTCCGTTGCGGTCATTGTTTTCGATAGGAGTACTTTTTCCCCAATCATAGGTTATCTTTCCATGTTCTCTCATGGAAGTGTACTGAATCATTTATAAATTGTTTGACTTTCTCGAGAGCCATGGACATCAATAACCATTAAATTCGGGGAGATGTTTACCTTCCTCCTTGGTCGAAATGTTTGAAGTCGTTAAGTTGTAATATATACGAGTTTCCACAGCATGCTGAAGTTTGATTTTCTTGAGTAGATTTTTTGATGACAGAGTGATCTGTATTGAACAAGATGAGTAAATTGCGGTTGTTTCCAAACAGCCAACAATGCCTGCTCTTGTTGGTGCCTCCTCAATTATCTGATTTTTTTGCAGCATCCTCAACTGACCTGTTTAAAGAATTGGTCTTGCAAGGTGAAAAATCACAAGAAGAAAGCAACGGCCAGGGATTAAATTCCCCGAACCAGATCTCGGACAATGCAGGTATCGTGGGATATTGGTTTGTAAAATTCCGATACGTACAAGTGGCTACATATCTATCGGGGATGTGCTCTATTTCGTACTGGTCCGAACCAGATCCTTGAAGCTGCCTTTGACAACTTCTGAACTGAAGATGGAGAAGGTTTTACGATCAAGGTTCCCAAATTGTTCTTGGAGTTCAGGTACCATATAAATCATGTACTTGTTTTGCCCGGTCTGAATGTCGGGTACGAGTATATATTCGACACGAGTATGTACTAAAACAAATTATGAAACGACTCGAAGGTATCTGACATGATATTTATAAACAAACACAATATTCGAAGAAGGTGAAAATTCCTGTATCCTATACGTATAAATACGACATTTGAAAGAGATGGCGAATATTTAAATTGTCTTTTATTGATGAAGACATCAAAAAGATTATTCCTAACACAATAATTGCAAAAGACCAAACACTTTGACCTTAATGCTAATCAAGGTCTTTCTATAGAAAAGATTGGAAAATCATCTCCGCAAGTTCCTGCAACAACGAAATAAACAAAGCATCATTTCAGATTCGATTCAATTCATGGCGCATTTATGTATGATTCATGTCGACAGCATTTGTGAATGAAGAAAGCTATGTTGTTCATGCCCTAAACTTTTTTCCCTTGAAGCACCTATGTCGAAAGCTAATTTCGGACATGAGTATGACAGATACGACCCTCCAAATACATGCACAATATACTCGTATCTGACTCTCAAAACTTTATCCCAGTAACGGTAACGTAAACATTACGAAAAAGCTTTGTATCTATCTACTACCTGCTTGGCTGAAGCAACCATGGGCTCACCCATTCAATTGCTTTCTTCTCAAGCATTTCAAAATTAGCTTTACCAGCCTGTAAGATATATATTACTCCATTAACACATATGAATGGCCAATGATGAAGTTATTACCAAAACCAAAAGAAAGAAGAATACATCACCTCAATTAGGGCACCAAGTTCATTATCATAGCTCGCATACCGCATATGAATAAGTTCGGCCAAAGAACCATCCTATAATCATGAGAAAATTTATAACACTATCTGGAAATTTGTGTATCGATGTCGTGTTTTAATTGTTTTTTCCCGTGTTGTGTTCTATTACCTCGATCAACTTGGCAGCGTTTCGGAGTCCACGGGCTAAGGTGTCCATTCCAACAATATGAGCAATGAACATATCTTCAACATCTGTGCTCTCTCTCTGTCTGCAAAACTATGCAAGAGTCAAATGCAGTAAAGCATTCGTTTCCAACACATGGGTGTGACGACATGACATCGAAGGATTGTCCGAATTCATGGAAGAACTTAGAAAAATCTAACCATGCCTGGGTCAAATACATACTCGTATCCGACAGTTATACCCTAGTCAAAGTACCATAGTATACAAATACTTGTAGGAAAAGGGTAAGCATAAATTCTTCTTAAGGCTTTCTGTGTAGTCGGATCCAACTATTGTTAAACCATATCTAATGTTAGATTTTGGTTTCGTTTTGATTATTTGCCGTTAAAAAATTAATAGCACAACTGATGTGATAATTTTCAATTTTTTTAAAATTATTATTTTTAGGCTTAATATAAAAATAAATGCCCAAACTATACATGTTTTCTCAAATAAGTGCCTAAATTTGTTTTTGTTAATCTAGGTGTCTAACGTTACAAACGTTACTATTTTAGGTGCCCGAGCCGTAATCGCTGTTAAAAAATTCTGTTAAGTGACACGTATCATGTTCTGGTAATTTTTATTTAAAAAAAAGACTCAAAATTTTATTTAAAAAAAAACTAAAATATTCGAAAATCTTAAAAAAATCCTAAATCTAATCCATATACCCATGCCGTCTGTCAACCTTATCGTCGATCGAACCTCCACCCGATCACGCCTCCACTCGATGACAAATTTCTCAACGAAGAGCCACCACAACAGGAGCCGACGAGCTGAATCAAGTTTGTCATTTCGTCGAATTTACCTTTGATTTCATCGTCAGAGTGTTTTTTGGGTAGCTTTTCAAGGGTAAATGACTGTGAGGTGGAGGCACGTTTAGGAGTAGGCCCAGTCGATGAGAACGACGACCAAAGCGGCGATCGACATGAGTATAAGATTGAAATTAGGGTTTTTAAATTTTTTGTTTTTTTAATATTTCTGAAAATCTTAGGCTTTTTTAATAAAAAAATATTTTTTATTTTTTAAATTTCAAAATTACCAGAACGTGACACATGTTATTAACATAGTATTTTTTACGGCGGTTACGGCTCGAGCACCTAAAATGATAACGTTTGTAGCGTTAGGCGCCTGGATTTAGGGGTGTTCAAACGGGTAAGTCGGTTAACCGACCGAACCGAATTACCCAAATTCTATTAACCGAATTTTTTCCATTAACCGTTAACCGAACCAAAGTTTTTCCAAACAAATTTAACTGAACCAAACTAAGTTTGGTTAATTAACCGGTTAACCGAATTAACCGAAATTTATAAAAATATATATATAAATAATATATATTATATATTATATATTTAATATTTTTGGTTTATTCGGTTAATTCGGTTAAAACAAGTTTAAACAACCCTAAAGCTAAATTATATATATAATATTTAACAATTTTTGGTAAATTCATTAATTAACCGATTTTGAACCGAATTAACCGAAACCGATATTTGAAAAAACCATCAACCGCTAACCGACCAATTAACTTACCGAAATTTCGGTTCGATCGGTTTTAACCGAACAATGAACTCCCCTACTTGGATTGACCAAAAAAAAGTTTAGACACATATTTGAACAAAGCGATATAGTTTGGACACTTATTTTAATATTAAGCCTTATTTTTATTACTATTTAATTAATTTTATTTGACCAATGAGGGAATGACATGTGTCACCATCAGTTGTTGGATTATGTGGACATTGCATATATATAATAAGTAATAATTGTATGTTATTTACCATCATGAAATAGTTAGTCAAAATTAAACCAATCTGATCCATTTAAGATTATTTGAGCTTCAATTATAATATATAATATGGGTCAAATATGTGTAGATACTCGAATAGTTAATTTCTAATTGATGATAGAATGATTAGAATTTAAGGTGCTCAGTTATTTATTAGGATTGTAGTCTCCAAATTATATATGGGACAAAAGTTAAAACCTAAATCGTTACCATGAGTTGAGTTTTTTTCATTTGAGAAAGGGTAACATTTTAGAGCTCTCCTGTTGATTGCCATGTCGATGAATGACCGCTACTTCTTGTCGTTCATGCGTCGGAAAACAAGAAATCCTAAGGGAATCACACTCCTTCAGAGGCTCTGCATCGGATTCGTCATCCAGGTTGTTGCGATCACCATCGCATACGTGGTGGAAGTCCAGAGAATGCAAGTCATAAGAGTGCATCAAATCGCAGGGCCAGAACAAATGGTTTCCATGAACACATTCTGGTTGCTGCCTCAACATGTTTTGCTCGGGATAGTCGATGTGTTCAACGTTGTCGGATTGCTGGAATTCTTCTATGATCAGTCACCGCAAGACGGGCAAAGCTTGGGAACAACATTTTTCACCAGCGGGATCAGAGTTGGGAGTTTCTGGATCAGTTTTTTTATGACAATGGTGGATAAATTACAGGCAGAGGTGAGAATAAGAGCTGGATTTGTGACAATTTGAATAACTCTCACTTGGATTTTTGTTATGGTTTCCTTTTGGTCATATAAACCCTTAATTTAGGAGCATTCCTCAGGGCATCAAGTAAATATGTGTATAAAAGGGAAGCCAAAGAAGTGGATGAGGATTGTACTGAAATGGAGAACCAAACCTTGGAGATTTCTCCACTAGCATTACAAGTATGAGAAAATCACCCCAAAAAACTAAAAAAAAGAAATAGTAACAGCAAGGGATAAACCAACTTTTAGTCCTAAACTTGACTTCTTCAATTTTTTAGTCCTTTTGATAATGTTCAAGGATTAAATCGGAAAAATGCTAACAGGGACTAAAAGTTTCTTTTATCCATTAAAACAATAAAAAGAGGTGTGGTACAAAACAAATATGAAGGTGTAACCCCCTTGCATGTGTAGAGCAATTAATGTTTTTTTCTATTTCAATAAGAATGGTGTAATTTCCACCAGACAGCACCTAAGACTTTAGCATAAATATAGTTCCCATAAGAATGGAGTAATTGATCATCATTCATATGCATGTTTATCTCCAATTCTAATAATACAATTCATCTTAAACAAATGAACAAAACTCAATATGTATATATAAAAGTTCAAGATATTCAAATCCTAGAATCTGCAACCTCTCCTCTTATATCCGGATTACAATCTCTTTTTCACCCCAAACAAAGGGTAAACCGGCAGCATATTTGGCCGGAATTTACTGGATTCTTACTAGTTTTGGCCGGTTCTACAATTTTCCGGTTTTTAAAACCATGCACATGTGATAGAAGTTTTGGACAAATGCAGGAATTTGCAGGCAAGCCAAAGCAAAAACAAGACAATGGAGGACATGAAAGCAATGCATAATACTCTTTCATACTAGATGATTTCTCTCCAACATAGTACAATAGAATGCAAGTAACCATTAAGGAAGATACGCTGGAAAAATCGAGACCTTTGGAATTGTAAAGAATTTCTGATATACAAGATGTTTTCAAGGCAAGCTATACAGATACTCGGGGGAAAATTACCACTACCATGTGCAGCCTAGCTCTGTCCATTTCTCGTATCTTTACGGGAAGTGAGGTTGTTGGTCTGATCTTATTTTGGTCGTTCAGCTAATAGTTGAGGTCTTAACTGCAAAGAATGTGAAATAGCAATATTAACACCACCTTAAAGAAACTAAAACAAATATAAGACCTGAAGGTTTGGAGAACTTTTGAACGGGTAGGCCCTATATCCACCTAAGAGCACCCAATAACTCAAAATTTCAAGAACCAGATACTTTATAGGTATAATGTTAAGTGTTGACGTTATTTTTACACAGAAATACACTACATATCAAACCTAAGTTATTTTTATACGTATAATGCCTCATAGGCTTGTTTAACCCCATCTTCAATGCATTATTTGACACAGAAAGATAAAACACAACAAATTGAAACCAGTAATGGGAACATAATTAATGAGTGCGTCAGTGCATACCATCTTAACATATTCGAGTTGCTTCAAAATTTCGTTTGTTTCCATCTCCTGATCGAACAAAGGCAGCAACAAGTTCAATTAGAGGATAAATACAATCATACTTGAAACAATTATAACCTAAAACTGAATATCATATATCAAGAGAAATTTACTTTTTTGCTCTAGTGTTTGTAGCCTTTTTATTGCTGTCTAAAACTGAATTTATCTTATATGACTTGAAATAAAATAAAATTAAACTGGTATTCTTATAATACAATAGCATAGAAAATATACTGGACATCACCTAGTTGTAGTTCCTTTTACAGGGATTCTAGCAATCTGATAAGAAGACAGGATGACAGAAGAGCTTGCGGACAATTTGCAATAAAACCTTAAAATGGGACCAACTTCTTGTTCTATTACATGAATTGTGGGTTTTGTTTTGGACGGATTAACAGACAACAACCAAGATTCTTTCCACTTATACGGATAGTATGGCCTAAATTTGAGTCTCCAATCAGAATCTATGAAGAACACTTGCATTGATTAACTAGAAGTTGATGACACATTAAATATGATCCACCTTTAATTTTTAGCTTCCAAATGAAACATATTGACATGAGACCTGGACTGGTCTTCAGTTTGGGAAAAACAAAATTAAAATTCTAAACTGATAACTGATCCAAGAAGAGATTCCCTAGTAATACAAAATTCCAAGTTAATTTATTCAAAACCCCAAGAACCATAACCTGAAGCTGAAGGTTGAAATATGAAAAAAATAACATAAGAAAAAAAATTAAAGTTGTTAAAGGGTTACCACCTGAGGTACAGAACAATCAGCATGCAATGGATCCCATTGGAAAGAGCAGAAGCATTCCCAATTATCAGTTTGGACTTCAAAAAGTGGAGCCCTATAAAAGAAAGAGCTTTAAAAACTAAGCATCTTTCATGAGAAACACAAAAACCAAAACTACAAAATATGTGCATGTTAAGTCCCTAGCAACCTGGTAACAAAGTCCATGACTCATCTAAGCAATGCTTAGTACTTAAGTCGAAACTGAATTCCTCGAGTTCTAGAGGACAATGAAATCATCTTTATCCTCAATATCTGCTGATAAGAAAAGTGATACGATGTACTTCTATCTCATCAATTTTCAAATTTTTACAATGAGAAAGTGTTATCTTCTAACCATTGACACAAGATAATGAAAAATGGGGTGATATGTTACATGTATCCGGGTAAATTCTACTAGGGTTAAGTAACCACTTACTAGAGGATATCATATACCAATATTCATCATAATCTAATATATTTACTTGAGGATATGATTACCCAAGGTCAACATTCGAGTTTTGGACTTAACAAATTGATCACTTCAAGTTTCAACAATAATTCATCAAAGTCAATCAGAAGTAAACTGGTTACTATTCCCTAGACAAAAACGTTCTGAATCGTTAGCAATTACCACCTTGTGCCAACATAAATAACAAGAAGAAAGTAAAATATCAATGCAACCAAGCTATACCTGCGCCATTTTCCACAGATGGTTCCATTATTGTCGCCCACGCCTTCTACCAGCCCTCTACATTGAAGCCAATTCCCTATTAAGCTGAATTTATTTAACTTGTGGCAATTCATGTCCTATGAAGAAAAATGAGTCAATTTTCCTCGAAAAAAGTCACATATCTGCAAAATGGAAATGCAAACAGAGAAAAAGAAAATTTGAAGCCTTACATGGAAATCGGTATATTCTGAAGGATCCAAATTTAGTGGTTCACTAATTGTATCAGCATCACTGCATCATAATACAAACTACATGAACTACAACACTTGCGAAGCAAGAAGTGGTATGATAGCATTTAACCTTTTCTATATTTTATGGTTTCTAATGTGAAACGAAGTAAACTAAATAAAATTTCTATATGAGGAAAAAGTAACATGAAAACAAATAGGAAAGATTGCTATCAGCATAGGTAAATAAAATTTCAATAAACTAAACATTGGCTTTGTCACTATCAATCAATCACTTGAGTAGCCTATAGGCAATCAATGATGAATCAAAATCCGTATACGAGGAAATGTGGAGTTGATTGCATTAATCTAGCTTTCACGATAGTAAAACCCCCACCAAAACTCCCTTTCCCTTCTTTCAAAACACCCCTACACAACCAAACCTTCATTTAGTGCTTTAAAGTATCCAACTCATAATTTCCCTAACAAATGAATCAGAAAATTTAATCTTGGGGGATCATACAAGATCATGGCATAAATATTAATCATGAACAAGGTTGGATACATAACCCAGCAATAATTATTGATGTTATCCAAGACCTTTTTTTCCAAAAAATCAATACTTGCGTGGAAATCAAAAGTGCTTATGATTTGGCATAAAGAGTCTCAAAACATATGCCTTCCAAATAGAATTAATATAAAAAAAATAGTTTATGGAACATACTTATCAATTGGACCAGACCAGTCAGGAACTTCTGCTTGATAGCCCTTTCCAATCCGTGTGCTGGTTCTATAAGGTTCAGTATCTCTCAACATTAATTCTATTGGACTGAATTCCTCTTCAGGTGATACATCTCTGCATCTACCCATTCCACCAGTGATACTTGAAGCCTTGCTTGCAGTTGCCTCTTTGAGCATTATTCGCTTATTTTTCATACACGAAGTACAATACCAGTCATCAATCGGTATTTTCTTTATCCTGGGAGTGCAGCAACGTACATGGAACGCTTCTTCACAATTATCACAAATGAGCATCTTTTGAACAGTTCCTGAATGGTTACAAGTTTTGCACAACCTAGAACAACTACCACCACCACCACCAGTAGTCCTTAATTCCTCGTTGATACAATTCCTTGAAGGCCCAATTTCGTCATCATTCCCCTGGCACTGAATGATACGGTGGAACGCATCTTTTTCAGATAGATCTTCCCTCACAACTTCAGCAGCTATCACACAAGAGGAGGAACACTCACCATTTTCAGCCATCTCATCTTTCAAAGAAACTAAGGCAAGTTCCATAATTGACTTCGATGATGAACAACTGTCATTTATACTGTCAACATCTAGTTCTTTCTGCACAACAGTTTTATGTACATCATCAGAACTGTGGTCATACACACCAGAACTTCCATTAGCAAATTCACACTTTGAAATATGAGGCCCTCCACTGCAAACGAGAGTTTCCATGGGAGCTCTAACAGTTGTGGCTTCACGTTCATCTTGAGAAATTCCTTTCTGCTCAACGATTTCCTCCGAAAGAGCATCGGAACTGACAACATAAAGACAATTCCCACTTCTCCTAGAATTCACCGGCTCCTGTGCACAAAAGTTGACCACAACAGCACTACCACTGCTGCTGTTTCCACGACGTTTCCTCCTCCTACTGTAAACTAAAGTCGGCATAGGACTTTCAAACATTAAACTGGCAGATGACTGCTGAGATCCAGTTATGGTAAGGGAAGGCATGAATCCTCAGGCTCTTCACATCCACTCTGTGAAATGTTATCACATTTAGGAGATATCTGCAAAGGTTTATCAACAGACGTCCAAACACATAAAGAAATCTTGTTGGCTCCACTCAAACACATAAAACAGGCCGTGTTTCTACTGAACTAGAAATCCTAGCCTCTATCTGGATTCTTGATTTCACATAATATATTTCAAGAAAAAAATTTGGGTTTCCTCTAGAACTCCCAAATTACTTCCAATGATAAAAAAAGAAAAACAAAAACACCCTTTTTGTTGCAATTACAAACTTGGGTTTCAGTGCATCAACCTAGTGATTATCAACTATTTGTTCTATTCCAGCAAGATTATTCAACAAACTAGTTCAATATACGCTATAAACAAAAACATACCCAATTGGCAAGAAAATAAATATGTAATGAGATTTTGGTGTACCCTTTTGCAAGTAACACAATGAAATCATAGCAGCTTTACCAAGAAACATAAAGAGCTGAAGTGAATTCAAGGGCTCAAACCTGGAACAGATTCCCAATGTTGAAATCGAAGCGTTGAGGTAGAGGGCAAGGGCTTTTGGTGTTGTTGAGTGCCCGGTGCCTGCCTGGCTGGCTCAACCGGTGGGAAAGTCTATTTACTGGGCTTAAAGTTGGTTTTTTCTACAATGTCCAACAAGTCTTCTCAGCCTTCTAATTATCAAATTTGTTCTTAATTTTCCCTTGGAACCGTTCGGCTTGGAAAAGTTATGAATGGTTCGATTCGGTTTAAATTTAAATTTTATTGATAAATAAATTTGATATTTTATTTAAATAAATTATTAGTTATATAAATATTGATATAAATTGAATTATATATTTTTCAAATAATAAAATATCTATTTGAGTTGAAATGCAATTAGATCAAACTCATTTATATCAATTTGAATGAGAGTAGTCTTGAGTGTAGATATGTGATCACTTTTATAACATAAAATCAAAATATAAATTCTTTAATTTCAGGCTATATATGACATAAACGTAATCCAAAACAATGTAAGATGTAACATAAAATTTTTGGGTTAAAATTGAGCAAATCAGATTGAAAAATCAAAATCATAAGGTCGAAAAAGTATAGAGTTAATGTTTAGATCAAAAGTTAGAGTCAATTGTTATCAAAGTCAACAATCATTCGATGGACTAATTGATCAAACAAGTCATATCAACGGGTTAAGCTTAGTTCAGATTGGTCTAATCCGACTTAGCTCATCAAGTCAGTTTGTTTTGAGTGCAGTCAAATCACTTATAAGAATTGAGTTTATGAGTAAGGAGGCCTAATGAATATGGGCATGCTAATTGTAAAGGGTTGAAACAATTGGGTTGATTGACGAAGTCATATGATTTAGGATGTTTTCATTAGTTACGGTTGACAAAGGTCCTCAACGGTTATAGCGGCAATTATTCTAACAAAATATTTTATCTACCTACGAAGCACACAATCATCATTTTGACGGCTCCCAAAATAGGGTTATCTCATCTCAACAGCAAAGCTTGCATGTCGGATTCGACGGCTCTCAGAAACGCATAACCGACACTCTCTATATTTAGTAAAAACAAAATCCAATCATTCCAATTATTACATTAAAGATTTCCCATTTTATTGCATCCCATTGTACATTCAGCATTTGTGTCTTTGGTTTCATCCCTCCACCTCCTCCTTAAAAAGGTATCTTCTTCCATTCAATTTGGCATTCGAAAGTAAGTTTGGATCTTTCATTTTGATAGAAATTTGTTGCTTCTCTTATAATTTTTATGTTTGTTGTGTGTTTTCTTTACAGGTCGAAGAGTACATCAAACAATTATGATATTATCTCTGTTAAAAGTTGACAGCATTAGTCAACATAATGGGGTGACAATTTGGCATCATTAATGGGCGGCTAAATTGGTCAAATATTGGCCACCAAATTATTGAAAAAGTTAAATAGAATAATCACAATTTAGTCATTGAACTTATGGGTATTTATAAGATTAGTCCTTAAGCTTTAACTATAAATATCTTATCTCATTTAACTTCAAAACCATCCCAAAGCATTCTAGCTTTCTTCCAATACTAGAGAGAATTTAGAGAGTTTCTTGAGAGTTGTTTTCTCCTTTTTATCAAGAGAGAATTAGTATTGTTTTCTCCTTGGTAGATCGAGAGAAGTCGTAATTCCTATTTTCTCATAGTGAAATTATTCTACTGTTGCCCGTGGTTTTTACCCTATATTATTTAGGGGTTTTCCACATAAATTTTGTGTCTCTTTTATCTTCATTTTTATTTTCTCAAATTATCAGTTGTGATTTTGCTCTATCCGATAATCGTCTTCTTCAACAATTGGTATCAGAGCCAGATTTGAGTGTGTAATATCTGCTTATTGTCTTTATGGTTGCCACCAAAAGGTAGATCATCCAACATAAGAAAATAAGAAGTTATTACCCATTTTTTGAATGTTCTAGAGAACTATTCACGATAGTGAAATAGTGGGAGCTATCCGTAAAAGAAGCTATGGCAACGAAATTTGATATTGAAAAATTCAATGGGAGAAATTTCTCATTGTGGAAATTGAAGATGAAGGTCATCCTGAGGAAAGACGGTTGTCTAGCAGCTATCAGTGAAAGGCCGATGGACTTCACAGATGACAACAAATGGATCAAAATGGACGGGAATGCTATGGCAAACTTTTATTTAGTATTAACAGATGAAGTATTGTCAAGCATCGAGGAGAAGAAGACAGCTAAGGAGATATGGGATCATCTCACCAAATTGTACGAGGCCACATCATTGCACAATAAAATTTTCCTTAAGAGAAAATTATACACTCTCCGTATGCCAGAATCTACTTCAGTGACGGAGCACTTAAATACACTGAATACTTTATTTTCTCAGCTTACATCCTTAAGCTGTAAAATAAGAGAACAAGAACGTGCTAAACTTCTACTTCAAAGTCTACCGGATTCGTATGATCAACTCATCATCAACTTGACAAACAGTAATGTCACCAGTCTAGTCTTCGATGATGTTGCAGCTGTTGTTCTGCAAGAAGAAAATCGGCGCAAGAATAAGGAAGACAGACAAGTAAATCTGCAACAAGCAGAAGCGTTGACAACGATGAGAGAGATCAACAGAACGTGGCCAAAGCAGCAATCACAAACATGGTAGATCGAAGTCAAGAAGCAAGAAGAATTTAAAGTGCTACAACTGTGGAAAGAATGGTCACTTGAAGAAGGATTGTTGGAGTCTAAATAAAAACTCCAATCCACAATGCAATACTGCAAACACGTCAGATGATGGAGATGCTCTATGTTGTGAAGCGTCAACCACCGTGGAAGGTAGAAAGAGATATACAGACATATGGCTCATTGATTCGGGAGCAACATATCACATGACCTCAAGAAGAGAATGGTTCCATCATTATGAACCTGTCTCAGGAGGATCTGTGTATAGTTGCAATGGTCATGCCTTAGAGATCATTGGCGTGGGAACCATCAAATTGAATATGTATGATGGAACAATTAAAGTTGTTCGAGATGTGCGGCACGTGAAAGGCCTGAAGAAAAATTTATTATCCTATGGATTGTTGGATAATAATGCAAGCAAGATTGAAACACGGAAAGGAATCATGAAGGTGTTCCGTGGAGCGCTTGTGGTGCTGAAAGGTGAAAAGATAGATGCAAACTTGTAAATGCTGAAGGGAGAGACTTTGGTAGAAGCAGAAGCCTCTGTTGCCTCATGTAGTTCAGATTCGACAATGCTATGTCATCAGAAACTTGGACACATGTCAGAACAAGGAATGAAAGTCATTGTGGAGCAAAAGCTACTTTCAGGCTTAACAAAGGTATCACTTCCTTTGTGTGAGCATTGCATAACAAGTAAGCGTCACCGGTTGAAATTTAACACATCAAATTCTAGAGGCAAAAGTGTTCTAGAATTGGTTCACTCTGACGTATGACAAGCACCAGTTACATCCCTAGGCGGAGCAAAATACTTTGTCTCATTTATTGATGACTATTCCAGGAGATGTTGGGTGTACCCTATTAAGAAGAAGTCAGATGTGTTTTCCACTTTCAAAAACTTCAAAGCGCGGGTGGAACTTGATTCTGGAAATAAGATCAAGTGTTTCAGAACAGATAATGAAAGAGAATACACAAGCGAAGAATTTGATGACTTTTGCAGGAAAGAAGGCATCAAAAGACAGTTCACAGTGGCGAACACTCCTCAACAAAATGGAGTGGCAGAGCAGATGAACAGAACCTTGTTAGAAAGAACAAGAGCAATGTTGAGGGATGCAGGCCTAGAAAAATCATTCTGGGAAGAAGCAGTCAATACCGCTTGTTATTTGGTGAATCGAGCTCCATCAACTGCAATAGTGCTGAAGACACCAATAGAGATGTGGACTGGTAAACCAGCTGATTATTCAAACCTCCATGTATTTGGAAGTATTGTGAACATGATGTACAACTCCCAAGAAATCTCAAAGCTGGATCTAAAATCTAGGAAATGCAAATTCTTGGGGTATGCTGATGGAGTCAAGGGGTATTGCTTGTGGGATCCCACTGCCCGCAAAGTGATCATCAGCAGGGATGTTATCTTTGTAGAAGATAAACTACAAAGAAAGAAGACAATGATAGCGTTGAAAAGTCAGAGACTACACAGAAACATGTGGAAAAAGAGTTTGAATAAGGAGATTCTTCTGAAGTAGAACCAACACATGATGAACAAGAACCAGAGAGTTATGAAGCTCCAACAACTCGTTAATCAGATCGTGTGAGAATACGTCCCAATTGGCACTCAGATTATGTTATAGAAGGTAATATTGCATATTGCCTTTTAACAGAGGACGGTAAGCCATCAACATACCAGGAGGCAATAAACAACTCAGATGTTTCACTGTGGATGATGGCGATGCAAGAAGAAATCAAAGTCCTTCATAAAAATAATACATGGGACCTTGTGCCACTACCACAAGGAAAGAAGCCAATTGGTAACAAATGGGTCTTCAAAATCAAGTGAAATGGTGATGATCAAGTTGAGAGGTATCGTGCAAGACTGATGGTCAAAGGATATGCTCAAAAAGAAGGTATTGATTTCAATGAAATATTTTCTCCTGTGGTTCGACTAACAACAGTTCGAGTAGTTTTGGCAATGTGTGCTACATTGAACTTACATCTAGAGCAACTAGATGTTAAAACAGCTTTTCTTCATGGAAATCTTGAAGAAGAGATTTATATGCTCCAGCCTGAAGGTTTTGAAGAAAAGAAGAACTTAGTTTGCAGGTTGAACAAATCTCTATACGGTCTAAAGCAGGTGTCGAGGTGTTGGTATAAGAGATTTGATTCCTTCATTATGTGCCTTGGATACAACAGACTTAATGCAAACCCTTGTACTTATTTCAAGAGGTCTGGTGATAACGATTTTGTTATATTGTTGTTGTATGTGGATGACATGTTGGTTGCAAGATCCAACAAAGATCATATTGAAGAATTGAAGGCACAACTGGCTAGGGAATTTGAAATGAAGGACTTGGGATCAGTAAACAAGATTCTAGGGATATAAATTCACCGAGACAGAAGTAATAAGAAGATTTGGCTTTCACAAAATAATTACTTGAAGAAGATCTTGTCACGATTCAACATGCAATATTGTAAGCCAATTTCTACCTCTCTTCCTATTAACTTCAAATTATCATCCAATATGAGTCCTAGCAGTGAAAAAGAGAGGATGGAGATGTCTCGAGTACCGTATGCATCAGCAGTGGGAAGTTTAATGTTCGCTATGATATGCACAAGACCATACATTGCACAAGCAGTGGGAGTGGTTAGTCGGTACATGGCGAATCCAGGCAAAGAGCATTGGAATACAGTAAAAAGGATCCTGAGATATATCAAAGGGACCTCAAATGTTGCATTATGTTACGGAAGATCAAATTTACTAATCAATGGGTATGTAGATTCTGACTATGCAGGGGATTTGGATAAAAGCAAATCTACTACAGGATACGTGTTCAAAATTGCTAGTGGAGCTGTAAGCTGGGTTTCAAAATTACAGTCAGTTGTGGCTACATCCACAACAGAGGCAGAATATGTAGCAACTACACAAGCCAGTAAAGAAGCAATTTGGTTGAAGATGCTATTGGAGGAGCTTGGGCACAATCAAGAGTATATCTCTCTATTTTGTGACAGTCAAAGTGCCTTGCATCTAGCAAGGAATCCATCATTTCATTCAAGGACAAAACACATACGAGTTCAATACAATTTCATTCGTGAAAAAGTGGAAGAAGAGACGATAGATATGCAGAAGATCTATACCAAAGACAATATAGCAGATTTCATGACGAAGGCAATCAGCGCTGATAAATTTAGCTGGTGTCGATCCTCTTGTGGCCTGACAGAAACGTAAGCAACATGATGGTACAAGGTAGAAAGAATGGTGTGAAGATATGATTGTTCCAATCAAATCTTCAAGTGGGAGATTGTTAAAAGTTGGCAGCATTAGTCAACATAATGGGGTGGCAATTTGGCATCATTAATGGGCGGCTAAATTGGTCAAATATTGGCCACCAAATTGTTAAAAAAGTTAAATGGAATAATCATAATTTAGTCATTGAACTTATGGGTATTTATAAGATTAGTCCTCAAGCTTCAACTATAAATACTCTACCTCATTTAGCTTCAAAACCATCCCAAAACATTCTAGCTTTCTTCCAATACTAGAGAGAATTTAGAGAGTTTCTTGAGAGTTATTTTCTCCTTTTTATCAAGAGATAATTATCATTGTTTTCTCATTGGTAGATCGAGAGAAGTTGTAATTCCTATTTTCTCATAGTGAAATTATTCTACTGTTGCCCGTGGTTTTTACCCTATATTATTTAGGGGTTTTCACGTAAATTTTGTGTCTCTTTTATCTTCATTTTTATTTTCTTAAATTATCAGTTGTAATTTTACTCTATCCAATAGTCGTCTTCCACAACAATCTCGGATCCAAGTTTTGTCGAATCCTGAAAGGTTCATAGTGTGGGAATTGATAAGGGTCCAATATCAAGTACAAACTCTTCAGTTTTGCATGGTGACATTTATTTACGGGCTTTGAAAGATTCTTATTTTGTGAATTTGTTAAAATTATCGACATATAAGAAAGATAAAACCCGTTGAAGAACAATATTTGAGTTGTATGATGTTACTCTCGACCTGTGAGTCTTTCATCTCTAGAATCCATCGCTCTTCAATCTTTGAATGACTGTTTATAACTTGAAAAATCGAACAAGTTGTTATTACCTAATGTCCAATTCATGTGCTTAATGCTTTTGGTATTCATCATTTTACATTCTTGGTCTACTTTTGAGGACAATTGAAAGTATTGTGCTAAATTATGATCGTGTCATCCGTTGTCGTTGCAAATGTTGAAGACGTTATGATTGTATGTGACGGTCCAATCGAAGAAAAGAGAGAGTTGAACTTGTGTTTGCTGGTTGATTCGGTGCATTCCAGGTGTTTGAATCTTTACCTAACTGCCTCGTTTTGTCTTTCAGAAAGCATTAAGAAAGGAGTAGGGGATGCAGAAAGATGTACTTGCTCTCTGAGAACACTTTATCCAAACTATATAAGCATGGATCCGGATTGAAATTATCGTCTTTCGTTCTCTATGTCGTTGGACGCACAACAAACAGCGCTATCTTGCTCGGTATTCAGGTTCTTAACAGATCCGAAGACAACATTGCTGTCTTGTTGAATTATGTCGTTGAAAACGGTTGAGTTTCTTGCTAGAGTGTAGCAAATATATAATCACTGCAGGAGATACTACATTTTTGGAATTTGTTAGGATTAAAGCTTTATAGAATGGAGAGTAAAGGGAAGGTTTTGATGCACAAATACGAATTTGGCTGTGGGAAAGTTTACTACGCGAAGCACATCAAAACCGGGCAGAGCGTGGCGATTAAGGTCATCGAGAAAGAGAAGGTTCAGAAAGTAGGCATGAGAGATCAAACCAAGACGGAGATATTGAGTATGAGCCTCGTTAAGCACCCGAACATCTTGGAAGTTGGAACTTTACGAGGTCCTGGCTAGCAAAAACAAGATTTACTTCGTTATGGAGTATGCCAACGGTGGTGAGCTCTATAACAAGGTAGAGGCGAATGGGAAGCTGATAGAAGACATTGCGAGGAAGTATTTCCAGCAGCTAATCAGTGCAGTCGACTTTTTCCACAGCAGAGGCGTTTATCATCGGGATTTTAAACCTGAGAACCTACTCCTCGACAAGAATGGAACCCCTAAGGTATCAGATTTCGGTTTGAGTGCACTTGGAGTGAATAAGCATCAAGCCACGCAACTTGTGGAACCCCAGCCTATGTAGCTCCTGAAGTTATAAACCAGAAAGGCTGCGACGGGGCGAAATCCGATATCTGGTCTTGCGGGGTGATCCTCTTTGTTCTACTGGCTGGTTACCTTTCGTTTCGTGATTCAAATCTGTTAGGAATGTATAAGAAAATAAGCACGCAGATTACACGTTTCCTAGTTGGTTTTCAGCTGATGTAACCAAGCTGCTATCGAAAATTCTCAATCCTAATCCGAAATCTCGAATTTCGATCGCAAAACTAATGACAAAACGTTGGTTCAAAAAGGGGTTTAAATCGAACTCACTTCAGAAAAAATCCGAATAGGATTTGCCCTGTGCCGATACCGATGTGGTTTTCAATATGAGGTTAACACTGCAGCACTTGAAGCAAAGAATCACAAGGATAACTTCCCTAAGTTGAATGCTTTCGACATCATTAAGTTATCGAGCGGATTGGATTTGTCTGGATTGTTTACGGAAACGGACGATGAGAAGAAGAAGGAAGTTCACTACACTTCTGTGCACAGTGCCTCTGACATCGCATCCAAACTAAAGGACACTGCTCAGCAATTGAAGTTCAAAATCAAGAAGGAAGATGGAGAGCTTTTGAAAATCGAAAAATCGAGAAGGGGTCGAAAAGGTTCATTGGTTATCGACGCGGAGTTATTCGAGGTCACCCCTTCTTTCCATCTAGTGGAGATGAAGAAGTGCAGTGGTGATTCATTGGAGTATAAGAGTACGTTGTAGGAGGAGGTTACACCAGCTGTCAAGGACATTGTTTGGTCTTGGCAATAACGAGTCATCGTAGTCGCCTTCGTATCGATGTTTCTTGAGTTTATTTACATGATACGACCTCAAAGGAAGTTTGGATGTTTAGTTTCCCATATGAATGTTTAGAGCTGCAAAAGGTTCTTGGTTCTGCATTTCAATGTCTGAAAAACAATTTGTTTTTTCTTTTATTATTTGGTTTGGTTCAAATGTAGACCTATTATTCAATGAAAATGATATTAATATATTTAAAACTATTCCATACACTGTTAATGGAATTGAAAAACACCACCAGAGGTAAACGTATGGACATGTGACATAAATGGTGCAATAGAAATAGAAAAAAATAATTATATATAAAAATCGAGCATGGGTCGAAAAGGCGCTTCGGCTATCGACGCGGAGATATTCGAGTTCACCGTGTTTCTATCTAATGGAGAGGAAGAAGTCTTGTGGTGACACATTAGAGTGTAAGATAATGTTGCAGGAGGTTAGACCTACAGCTCTCGAGGACATTGTTTGTTCTCGTAATAACGAGTCGTCGTAATCGCCTTCATGCCGGAGTTTCTCGAGTTTATTTGCCTGATTCGATCTTTAAAGCGGATGAAGAAGTCTTGTGGTGACACATTGGAGTGTAAGATAATGTTGCAGGAGGAGGTTAGACTTGCAGCTCTCAAGGACATTAACGAGTCATCGTAATCGCCTTCGTGCTCGAGTTTCTCAAGGACATTAAAGTCAGTGGTCAAATTTTCCACATGGTGCGCTCTCGTTGGTCGATTTTTTAACAACATTAACAAAAATAGGACAACAAAGATAAGTTTTGATAGTTTAGAGGTAAACTATCCCAAAAAAATAATTTTTGTATACGAGCTTTCTATCACTCTATCTATAATAATTTGATAATTTAATTTTGACAAATGAATTCATTTACGTAAAATGATTATTTTCTTTTTGTAATGTATATTTAGATTTTTATTAATAATATAAATATTAATAAATTTAGTTTGTTTAAAAAAAATTAAAAAATTGTTTTATTTAAAGAAGATAAACTATTTTTAAAAAATCAAATATTTCACTAAAAAGGTAAGTATTGTTCACACCCATACACGTGTATCTTAAAATTTTAGTGATGCATAACAAAACATCAGTTTTAGATAACAAATAATAAAACTAATAAATACACAAATCTGAATCATTAATCTCATGATCTACAAAGTGGATATAGAAAATCTAAAGTAATTATTCCTTAAAAAAATTTCATTATAAAAATTGCCATATAATTCTTTCTTTTTGTAATATAAAGCTTTGGGTTTCCTAATTAAAGTTCGTTTCATTTTATTCAATGGATAACGCACATTTGCGTCAACAAATCGCTGCAATGAGACACTCCTTCTTTGATGAGGTTAGTTTTTTCTATATATGTTTTATATTTATATATGTGTTTATCTAAAAAATATTATCAAAAAATCTAATTCGGATATGAAAATAGGAGATTTTGGACGGACAATTTTGTCAATTGGAACGTCTAGAGAATGGAGGTAACCCCAATTTTGTAGAGGAAGTGCTCACCATGTATTTCAGAGACTCCACTATACTGCTACAATCTGTTGAACAACAAATGTGAGTAAATTTATTTCTGCACTTATATACGAACACGAACCTACATCGATTAAAGATGAATGACCAAAGGGATGGTTTATTTTAAAACAAATTATACAGGGAAACTGACACCACTGATTTAGCTCGAGTAGATAGGATGCTTCATAAGTTCAAGGGCAGCACTGCCAGGTAAATTTGAAGAATCTTCGAATATATACATATATATAGAGTATATTATTAATTTTATCACTCAACTATGATCATATTATGTTTAGTCTTTAATTTGATTGCTAACTTTGATATTGTTTTGTTTCTAGTCACTTTATCGTTAATTATTTAACGGTATTATGATATGTCATCTATCTTTTAAAAATTATGAAAGTTTCTGAATATTTTCTTTTAAATTTGTGGAAACACCCCTAAAATCTTATTTATCAAATTTTTTAATTTAACTTTTTGACCTTTTGATTTTTGGACGGTGGATTGTCTTTTTTCTAAATTCCAACGATGGGGAGATGGAGGAGGAGGAGATAGGAAACACATCATGATTTTAGGTCGAATGATGAAGACGGTGGATCAAATTGTTTTCTTCAAGTTTTAAAGACATTTTAAAAAAATCTAAATTGATAGAGTTGTAGAGAATTATGAGACAAATTTATCAGTCTGAGTGATTGTATAGATGATGTCAAGAATGACGGTGTGAATAACAACATGAGATAGGATGGAAGTATAATAGTTATAAAACTGCTGAGATGATACAATGAAAAACCTAATTAATAAAAAAGAGGTGGCTTCCACGTTAGTAAAAATAGGTCATGTCACTCGTAATTTACGATCCAATGCCTGAATGACCAAAAACAAAGTAATTCAAATTATCTTTTGTAAAATTTAATGATCAAAACAAAAAATATGATTAAAGTTTAACGATGAAAAGCACAAATATTTATCTATATATAATCATCAATGTCACTATAATGGAAAGCTAACATTACATTTCTATCCGAAAGCATCGGTGCTTGTAAAGTTCGCGATAACATCACTAAAACACGAGAGCTTTTGGAGGAAGGGGACCTAGAAAGGTAACATTAATTCTTTAATTTTCCAACGCCTAGGGTTTTGCATGCACTACCTAGGGTTTGTGATGACTTACATGCAGGGCAAAACTCGCCTTCCGACAGCTACGAATGGAGCATAACAACCTCAGAGCGAAGCTTGAGCCCTACTTTCAGGTTTGTCTCCATTCAACCATTATTGTAGCAAATATAGATGGATGGAGGGATACATTTTGAGATAGTCGGTCTCTTGAAAATTTTAAGTTATCATATATTTTATATATTTTCTATTGACAATCTATTTTTGTCCTTAAAATTTTATATCTTAAAATTTTATGAAATCGTCATTTATAAAATTTTAAATGTTCACCCCTTAATGTAAAATCTACATTAACCTTGTTGATGGTGTTTTTGTCTATGGTCATTGAGCAGCAACTGAGACAAGTAGGCCCTGTGGAGACTGCAACTCGTCCCAGGGGAAGTGATCATGCATTCATCAAATAATGTGTTTGATAATATTGTAAGTTGGTGGTTCTACTTTATTGCTTTAGTTGTATTTAAGTGGTTCTTTTGAAAGGAAAAAATGTATTGAAGATGTTTTATTAACAAAATAATGAAACAATGAAAATAATGTGCTTGAGAAAGTTTATATATATCTTCATTCTATACGAGTCTATTTTTTTTACAAAGTTTATATTTAAGGTGTTTTCTTAACAAAACAATGAAAATAATGTGTTTGAGTAAATTAATATAATTCATTATATATGTGTTTCCATATGACTCTAATTTAATATTAGGCTTAATACCAAAATAAGTGTCCAAACTATACCTCTTTCCTTAAATAGGTGCCCTAATTATTTTTTGACTCATCCCGGTGCCTAACGTTATAAACGTTACCTATTTAGGTGCCCGGGCCGTCAACGGTGATAAATCCTCTGTTAAGTGACACATGTCACAACCTGGTAATTTTAAAAAAAATTACTTAAAATTAAAAAAAATTAAAATTATATGTATAAAAAAGAAAACACAAATTTTGAAATAAACCCTAAACTTTGAAAATCTTTATTTCAACCCCAAAACCCACGCCGCCTGCCGCATTTTGCCGTCGATGAAGTTCCACCCGACCTCCCCTCCCCCCAACAACCAAAACCCTCATGAAATCGTGACTGATTGACGGTCGATCAATGACGAATCAACGCTTTATACCCCGCGAACTATAGGTTGAAAATCGTTCTAAAGGCCAATCGACGGAAACTACGATGATGTATGAGTAGGAGGATGGTAGGGACTATGTCGGTGGTCATGGCCGGAAAGGGTGATGGCAACGGATTAAGGTTAGGATTTGGGATTTTGGGGTTGTTTTATAATATAAGAAAAGTTAGTATTTTTTTATAAATATCATAATATTTTTCAATTTTTAAAAAATAAATTCCAAAATTACCATATTGTGACACGTGTCACTTAATGGGAAAAATTAACGCCGGTGACGGCCCGGACACCTAAATGGGTAACGTTTGTAACATTAGGCACATGAATGAGTCAAAAAATAGTTTAGACGCATATTTGAGAAAAACAGTATAGTTTGGGCTCTTATTTTGGTATTAAGCCTCAGTATTACTTGACTAAAATTTTGATTAGCATCCGGCGAAGAAGAATCCGGTTTGTCGTAATTGGTTTTCAGTTTACATGTGTAATTTCTTCTGTATGTTATAGTTCGGCTTGCCGGATTCCGCTTCACCGGGACAATGTAACCTACTTGCCAATCTGCACTGTTTGGCAATATTTTGTTCTTTGGCACCGTCTCCATTCTTACAATCAACCTATGATAGCTGTTCTTCTCTATTTTCTTTTCCGGAGCCATGATTAATCTCTTTAAACTCATCGTTTCACTTAAAAAGTTAAATATATATCAAATTTAATTCCTATGTTTTAATTTTCTTGTAATTTAATCCTATATACTTCAAAAAAAAATTACAATATAATTATTCAAACCCAAACTGATTAACATTTCTTGTTTTTTAATTAAATAAAAGAATTAACTGACTTATTTCGATTGAATTATTGCAATTCTTTTAAACTATAGAATTTTATTTTCGTAAATCAATCAAATCAGTTTTTTTAATCAAACCAATTGAATCAAACATTGACCTATGCAGCAAGTTGAATCTCCACCACAAAATTTGCACATGGAAACAATGATCAGCAAATCTATTGGAAGTGGAGGATTGTTGACCTCATTACAACATCTAAAACAAAGTTGTAATAACCATCCAATTATTAGAAGAAGAAAAATTCAATTTTTGCATTTAAAAACTGTACTACTTTTGTCATTTGTCTATGGAGTTGTCATAATTGTGAAATGCTTAGTGACCATATATTTTAGTGGCCACTAATAATACGTGGATTAAATAAATAATAGACATTTTAATGTTTTGATTAATAAATTTATAAAACAATTATTAAAATTCAATAATTATAAAAAAAATTAAATTTATTAATATGTTACGTAATGATCACTAAAGTTATTGAAAATTAACGGATATAATAATGTTGTAACGATCGTTTTATAACCGTTTAATAAATTTAATGATGATTTTATGAATAAAAACTTAAGAAAAAAAAAGTAATTATTTTAGTATAATTTAATGACATGTAATGCACCTTTATCGTAAGTTTAAATGCCAAGTAAAGCTTGTTACAAGTGACCTAAGAGACAAATTCTCTGTCTCCAATCCTTGGAATCTAGGAAAAATGTCAAATAGATTAGATATGGGATGGGAGAGGGGGTCCATTTATGAATGATTCTCATTGAGCAGAATGTCCCCTCACCAATATCTTTCACAATAGACCACGTGACACAAACAAACAATGTGACATGTCTTATTCTTATCATTTAATTACGAAACGATAACAAAACGAAATAAAATCTTTAAAGAATTGACATTTGAAAGATTTGGAGTTCAAATTACATTATCTGATTTAAACGACGGATAAACTTGTATGTAACACACTAATCTTACTATGACGGTAAATAAAAATAACATAAATATCCGAATTGTTAAGTAGCTATAGCTATAGCAGTAAAAAAAAGGAATAAAAGATGAGTTTGAAGAAGTGAGATTCTATTCAAGCAGCACAAATTGTTGATTCATTTCCTTTCCATATGCCTATATACCATGTGCTTGAGCATCATATAACCAAACTCTCATGACAAATCATTTCATCAAAGCTTAAAATTTATTTGCCCAAGGACCATGATTTCTCGAGTCATGCATCGACGGATTCTCCGAATACAGGTACATACGAAAAATTACGGGGGGGGATCGAGCATACTTATAGACACTGGCATTTGAATCCGGGTAACATGGTCCATAACCGTTGTCTATTTTTCAGTTGGTAGCACACTTCAACGGCCTAATCAGAGTTACCATTCCGGGATAGAACTAAAAATTGACGAAATCCGTACCTAACTTATGAGGTATTATCTTATTTAGTCCGTTATGCATGTGTATGTATACATGTGTGTATGTATACATGTGTGTATATATATATATGTATGTATCAATCATAGCAGAAACAGCAAAGCAGCAGAAAGTTCATCACCAGTTCTGTTTCCCATTGCACTTAACCAGCAAACAATAGTTTGTGTCTATGCATATATACATAAATGAAAAACTCACATAACAAATGTAAAATAGCATTAAAAATAACTTTTTTCATTTGGTGAAGAACTATTTTCAGACAAGGATCAACGAACCTCATCAGCTTGTCCCCCTGATGAATTCCCATGTTGCTGGACTCCGGCCTCGATCACCACCGGCGTAGCTCCGGAACAAGTTGCTAGCGACTCTAGCAACGATTGCCTGCAAGTGGGACACGATGAGTGTGACAACAACCAAGTGTCTATACACCTCACATGGAAACCATGATTGCATTTTGGCAACACCCTGATTTTTTCACCATCCATGAATTCACCTAGGCAAATAGGACAATCAGTGGCCTTCAAATTCATCTCGGGACCGTAAATTGCCACCGGGATCTGCCGCAACACGCTCTTCTTCAACCTGGTTGCCGCCAGACGTGCTGCGGCCTCATCCGGGGTCTCGGGAGCAAACCGTCTGCCACACCGCAATGCACAACGCACGATCGAGTTCAACCCCAGAGCACATATCAGCGCACAAAGCAAAGCTGCCAGGATGATCACCTTGTTGGTATCGAAATTAGCTTCGTTGACTAACGAATTCCGCGGTCTTGTCTCATTCGAATCGTCGAGGAGAAGCCAATGCGGCCGGTGATGAAGCAGAGCTACCACCATTGCTATATATTACCAAAAGGCACTATCAGATGAAAAAACATAAATAAAAACACCCTTTAATCTTCTTTGATGAACCAACCCACAAGGGTTATCATCAGAAGATAATCCATTGATGTTTTGCTTGTTTTGAGGGAGTATTAAAAGCAAAAAAGTGAGGGCTTAAGCTCAAGCTTTCTATGCGTTTGATAAAATGCGTCTGAGAAATCAAAACACACTGTGAGGATTCCAACCGTTGAAAAGACACGCCACTAAAGAGCATCTTTCATGGTGCTTTAAAGGCGAAAGAGAAGAGAGAGAGGGAAGTGATGAAAATCTATGGCTTCCTCAATGAAGCAGTTGACGACTGTTTGAATTCCACGAGATCATCATCACTGAATTTACTTGGACAAAAAAGCAAAAAGGAGTGGGAAAATCGGGAGATAAAATACGGGGTTCCGAGGATAATGATTCGGGGTTTGCCAGAGTCTGATGATTAGTGATTTTTGTAGCTGAAATTGTTGAAAAAAAAAGAAATTTCTTTGCTTGTGGTTCAAATTAGAAGATGTGTTTTTGTTGTTATATATATCAAAATGGGCCCTTGAAAGCGAAAGAGAAGAAGTAAACACAAGTGTCAATTCCGAAAAATTATCAATTAGGTTAAGTATTCAATCGAATTTAGTTAAAATATTAAAATTAAAGTATACAATGTTCATCAATTATAATATATTATTTTATTAAGTATTTCGATTATTAAAAATTATAAAATGACCATCTTATTTATAGATTGTTCATTTTTTGAGTATCCCGACTATTAAAAGCTACAAAATAATCATCGAATTATTCATTATGTTCCAAACTCATCATTTTTTTAAAGAATTGAGAGTCGTCTGAATTGAATGTTAATATAATGATTAAGATATGATGTTTGTTTGAGATTCTGAGATCATATTTTATCATATCACAGTCAATAAATTAACATTCAATTAAGACTACCTTCAATCTTTTAACGAAAAATGACGAGTTTAGAATATATGTGTAATTGTGTTATCATTTTATAACTTCTAATGGTTTAGGGACTCGAGAAAGTAGCACTATAATTATTTTTATAATTATTATGTGGAAATAACAAGTTAACTTTTCTGTAATAATATTAATATATTTCTAAACAAAAAAAATTAAAGCTAAACAAAAAGGATAATTAAAATCGAATAATAAATTGTGGGGGTAATACATTGTAATTGAATCTGTCAGAGTAGGGTAAATGTAATTTAAATCTGGCAGCGGAAGAGAAAAAAGAAAGACAGTAAAAACGTGTGGGGGGCATCAAAGATTCCTTGCAGAATTGTTTGTCTAAAGCTGCATATTGGTTTGTTTTGAAATTGACATTTTTACATAAATATCATCCTAACAGAAATTAATTACATATTAGGCACCAGTTTAAAAATATTTACAAAACTAACATTTGGATTTATTACAAATCAGGCTTTACGCCACGTATGGTAAAGCGCGCCCCCTGAGGCGCGCTATACTGAAATGGGTGTTAGATCGAGAAATATAATCTGACGGGTGTCTGATCGGGAAACATACTGTTCAACGGTGATTTTTCGGAAAAACGTCATATTTTGAAACCCACGTCCCCTATCACATTCATTATCTTACTAAATTCGAATTAGAGTGGAAAATCTTTTTATTTATGATAACGATTGTTATTATATTTTTCTTGTATAAATTATCGATCATTAATTGATTAATTTATATCAGATACTGTAAAGATTTATTATGCGTACAATCTTTGTAACTTAATTTGTTTCATTTACAACATTAAAAATCAAACTCATTATTTTTCTTTAGATAATTTAGAGTGATTACGAGGTAGCATATGTTCAAAATCTTTCTTAACCATGATAACACACCCATAGACGTAGTTGCTTGAACCCAAGATCTTTAGGGATGACGAGACTCCCTTTAATCACTAAGATCATTTGATAGATTCACAAACTCGTGAATCATGATCTTACTTAAAGAATTTAATGTCCCGTGATAAGATCACAATTCTTTTAGTTCTCCCATAACACTGTAGACTAAAATCACATACCCTAGTGAAAAAATCAAAGGATAAATTACACTATTGTCTATTAATTTATGGAGAGATTTTAATCTGATCATATATCTTTTAATTTCACTCATGCTAATCAAGTTGTCTACTATTCACATTTAATAGATAAGTTGAGTTGGCAATTAATAAAATTTATATTATTTTATTTTTAATATTTATTAATTTATATTCTATCAATTTAGTCTTATTTTAATTTGTTATATTTTAAATGAAAATAAAAAATAAAATTAATGATAATTTTAAAAAATAACCAAAGTTGTAAAACGATAACATTGACTTAAGGAAATAGTTTACCCTATATTTTTCTGGGTAAACTATGTATTTAGTCATTAATCTATCACAATTATTTCATTTTGGTCACCAAACTATTTTTTTTTCAAAATCATATCTAACACTTAGTTTTAGTTTAGTTTTGATCGTCCGTCGTTAAAAAATTAACGATGATATTGACATATCACCATAAGATGATGTCATTTTATCATTTAAAAAATAAAAAATTGTCACGTCAATTCTCAAGTGTGTAGGTTATGTATAGCTTCAATTTACATTCATCTATGCCTTATTATGTTGATTTAGATTATCTTTGGACTCAAAATTCTCAAGTATGGAGATTACGGTTGTACTCGTACTTATATCCATTTTTTAAAAAAAAACAATCTTAATTGTTTACAATGAAATTCATTCAAACTTTTGGGGGCACATTTGAAAATCAAAAAGTACAAAGGTCTAAAGAAAACATTTGGCGTTTGGTTCGCTGAATGTTTTTGAGAGAATTGGAATCTGTGAAGGAATTGAAATCGGTCAGGAATTGGAATCCAATTCCATATTCTATTTGGTTGGCAGAAAATGAAAATGGAATTGAAATCCAATTCCATATTCTGTTTGGTTCGCAGACATGTAAGATGAATTTGATTTCAATAATATAAAATGATAAAATTGCCTTGTGCTTCACTTTTGAAGCTCTCATTATCAAACATCTAATATAATATAACTATTGAACTCTATTAACAAGACATCACACTCCTTACCGTTCAGACCAGAAACTTTTTCACTTCGTGTTGGCATGTACATTTTTTTTAAAACACTGTTGACTTCGATTTAAGCCAAGAATCGGCTAAACTGTAGTTCTGATACCATTAAATGTAACACCCCCAACCCGTACCCGACCCGGCTACGAGTCCGAGATGTAATATTGACTTTTCAAAACCTTTACTTGAACAAAATAGTGAATAATTTTAAAACTTTTACTAAATACAATTGACTAATTTACATAAATTAGTATCATATGATTTTACAAAACCAATTCGAGTATATCGAATTCAAATTTTTATGTACATGCCAAATACATATATTTTCTGATCTGAACTTTGTAAAGGAGATGCTGACCTGTCTTGCTCCCCAATGCTCTCTATATTCTTCTCGAACCTACGCGTGAAACAGTCACACGCTAAGTCGATGACTTAGTGAGGCAAATAAAACATATAATAGAAATCATAAAACATTCCATATAACAAACCACATGAACATTTAATACTAACTTATCATACAAATTCATATAACAATTTCATACAAAATCACACACCTTTTTATATAACAAATACACTCATGTACATATATATCATCATCTACATTCTTAGCATTATCATAAATATTATTATAACTATTTCTATCATTATCATCTAATTATTTATCACCTGATATTGTACTTATCATTTATGTATATCATATCACACATATATCATTTCACCAAGAAACACCCATAAATCATAATTCCTGTAACCAAAAGCACATACATTATATATATATTGTATTCATGTTATCTCTTTGATTATCCCATAGTACACTTGTGAGAACTATATATATGTGAGTCTATAGAGGTTGTGCACTAATTCTTTCACCACAGCTCGTATAAATGCACCGAAGTGCCGCGTAGAAATGCACCGTAGTGCCACGTAGAATTGCACCGAAGTGCCGCGTAGAAATGCACCGTAGTGCCATATAATGTCCATAAGGACCACATAGAAATTCCTTAAGAATCATATACATATACCAAGGACCAAGTATGTATCTCAAAGACCTCATAAATGTTCCAAAGAATATACATATGTCCCGAAGGACCGCGTAGACCCTCGACTCTTGGCATGCCAACTATACCCCTAGCTCTCATGACACATAACATGGGCATTATCATTTATTTCATTTCAAATATTCACATAAACATGTAATTCACTTTCACATATCACGTATCACATAGTTTTTCACATAACTCATAGTCATATGTCTTATCTCATAACATATACATGTTTTCGCCTATATCATTCATATCATTTCTTATACCATCACATAATTCATTTAACATACATACATATCATGTAATATTATAATAGAAATACCTATAAGTCATATCACTTAGATTTCATATACATCTAGTCGCATAGATCACTTTTGCATAGCTTCTATCCACATATATTATCTACATGTATACCCAGAAATCAAATGGCATATACCAAATCATATAGATATATATATATATAGTTTATGCAATCACTTTACTTATACTCACATGGATCCATATCATAGAGCTTAGTTCCCTTGTACATGTTATCACACCGGCATATAATCTTATATCAATCCTATAGGTAAAAGCTATTTATCTTTATCTCATTTTCCCTTTGTATCAGCTTACATGATTTATTATACTAACATGTACAATAATATATAACCCTTATCACTTATCTCACGTTATTTAATTATGAATTATTCTATCCATTTAATTTAGTTCTATGTAGCTCCTATAACCTTCTCATAAGGTTTTATAGTTCTTAATTTTATAACTTCTATATCATAGTTTTCTTTTAAGCATATCACTTTTTCCTATAGTTTTTATCCTATAGGTTCTTATCATCGTTATGCTCATGTCCCCTAATTTATATATATACCATTTTCATAAAGTCTTTTAATTTATTATCTTCTGATTTATATATTATTCTCTTAGATATTCTCATATTACTCTATAGTCTGGTCTTATTTAACTCATCACCCATCTCATATAGTCATAAATATATTATACTGATTCTCATAATTAATCACCTATACCCTGTAACATGTACGATCATCCATCATATAACTTATTTCACTTCCCATGCAATCATATAGATCATTCATATTAGATCCTATAACTGATCACACTACATGTATTTACACAAATCATTTAACACCTATTGTAATTTATATCATATATACTCAAATCAAACATATACATATGATCATAAATTCATACATTCTAATATAGGAAATAGACTCGTCGCAAGTCTTATTTCCATTAAACATCATAAACTAACTTGTATGCACTCACCTGGGCCTCGTTTGCTTCGAA